TCTTTGAAGACCCTCCTTTTGGCCCACACCGTCTTGCTCCACGTTGAAAAACACTGATGCTGCCACATTATCCGGGGCAGACAAATGTTCTGAAGTTAAAGTAGTTTTCTGAGACATATTTGAGGAAGATGAAGACGCTGCCGAAGTTGCTGACGACTGCTTTGCATTCTGCCTTCCACGAGCATTAGGTCGTGGTGGTCGAACAGGAGTTACACTAGAAGAAACCCCACTGATATGTCCTTGACTGCCGTGCACTCCGTCTTTATGGGGTTTCCCGATTTGAGATCCCATCTCCGGAAGTGTCTTTACTCTACTACCTGTGTTAGACAGGACAGATTCACTGTTCCATGACTGTTGCCCAAGACTAAAGTCACTGAAAGGTGTGCTGTCAGAAACATCTGAGGGCGCTGAAGCTTGAATGCTGCCAGTCGACTGTACGCCTACTGCAGAAACAGATCTCTTATATGTGCCAACAGTTCGGCTTGATTTGTTCTTGTGACCAATATAAGACTCGTCTGTGAATCTGAAATAGGCAAATGTATAACAGCTGTGAACGGAGAGAGAGAAGCAACAACGAAATTCTAATCAAAGTGTAATGGTTGGGGCATTTAGAGATATTATGAAATGATTTCAAACGAGAACTAGTTAGCTTCACATTACCACAATCACAAACGACAAGTGAATATTTTGGCTAGAAAGCCTTCTTCAGTACACGACACGAGTAAACAATGTTAATTTTAAAACAATACAACAACGAAATTCTAATCTGTTTACTGCCCTCATCAAGGCTGATAAGGTGCAATGGTTGGGGGCATGTAGAGATACCATGAAATGATTCCTAACCATTACTAGTTACCTTAACATTATCACAAACAACAAGTGAATATTTTGGCTAGAAAGCCTTCTTCAGCACAAGACATGAGTAAACAATGTTAATTTTAAAACAACAATACACAAAATCCTTTAACTGAGGTCTCTTCAAGAAAAATCCACATGAATGTCTTGTCTGTTGAAGCTCTGAGACATGTGTGAGTAGAGGATAACTGAAATGAAACGGCACTAGATTTGATAGCACCGTTATTCATATCAGAAAAATGTAACTTGAACCTGTCGTGGCCTCGTTTCACCGATGTATTTCACACTGCATTTCTTGCAGATGGAGGCGTAACTTACATTGCGGCTCGTAGGATAGGATCATTCACAAATGTGGAAAGTGGAATTATGGAATGCCAAACTACTCGCTTGAACGACCTACGGTCAAGCTTTGCAACAGGTCTATGACAGGAAACCGTACCTAAGTGGGACTCAAGGGTCGTAACTGACCCTTGACTAGAACATCCCTAAGGTTACGATCATGTCTGTGGGACATAAGGGGAAGTTTAGAGAAAATTGTGCAGGTGGCAGGGTCAGAGCGTAGGAAGCAGAGATGCCCAACGAGAATGTTTTTGTGCATGGTGGATGGTAAGCAGGTATTTTGTAAGGTTGGATGGTAAGCAGGTATGTTGTGAGGGTGGATGGTAAGCAGGTATGTTGTGAGGAGGGATGGTAAGTAAGCAGGTATATTGTAAGGGTGGGTGTAAGCAGGTATGTTGTAAGGTTGGATGGTAAGCAGGTATGCTGTGAGGGTGGATGGCAAGCATGTATGTTGTGAGGGTGGATGGCAAGCAGGTATGTTGTGAGGGTGGATGGTAAGCAGGTATGTTGTGAGGGTGGATGGTAAGCAGGTATGCTGTGAGGGTGGATGGTAAGCAGGTATGCTGTGAGGGTGAATGGTAAGCAGGTTTGTTGTGAGGGTGGATGGTAAGCAGGTATGTTGTGAGGGTGGATGGTAAGCAGGTATGTTGTGAGGGTGGATGGTAAGCAGGTATGCTTTGAGGGTGGATGGTAAGCAGGTATGCTGTGAGGGTGGATGGTAAGCAGGTATGTTGTGAAGGTGGATGGTAAGAAGGTATGTTGTGAGGGTGGATAGTAAGCAGGTATGTTGTGAGGGCGGATGGTAAGCAGGTATGTTGTGAGGGCGGATGGTAAGCAGGAATGTTGTGAGGGTGGATGGTAAGCAGGTATGTTGTGAGGGTGGATGGTAAGCAGGTATGTTGTGAGGGTGGATGGTAAGCAGGAATGTTATAGCAATAAGAACCGTTGGATCCGCACAGGATGCAAATGCTGTACTTGTTCTTCCTAAAATATACAATGATTCACTGATTTTTCTTAATAACAAGCTAAAGATAAACCTTTGAGTCCCATCGAATGCAATGACAGACTTGTTTCCTTCTAACAATAAACACCTTAAGGTCCCGGCAAATTCAGTGATACAATTATTCTTTCTAGCAATAACATTTACATAACTTTAGAAAAAAAATAAGTCACCTCACGAGGTACAAATATTAACTTTCTAAACAACTGTACACTTGCTTTACCAAGAAGTCGGGCAGCAAAGCCTGCAGAAGTCAGATGTGTCGGCCTTATCACAGCCATGATGTAAACGGACACAACGTAACTGCATCAGGGGAAAAACACAGAGGAAGAAGAATAACAACACTTAGTGTCTGAAAATCTCCTGAACATATTCTGACAGTTACAACTTGTGCAGAAAGTGAAAGATAAGAGAACAAAAGAAACATTCCCGCCAAAAACAGAAAGTTGCCAACGTGCCAAGAAAAGAGCGCTGTATTCAGTCTATTTCCAGCCATGCCAAGACATTGGAAACCTGCTATGGTTGCAGGTTTATGGGTTTAGCTGTCACTGGGGGATGGCGAGGGAAAACCTGGCAGGCAAAGGTTGAAAACAGAAAGATAACGCCAGTGTTGCCACTTTGGATCTTTTATATCCAAATTTAGATCTTTTTCATTGCATTTAGATACTGTTTTTGACGTTTAGATCGTAAATATTTTTACAGATTCTTTTCATTGGGTGTTAGATATTTTATAGATTTTTTTTTCTTTCATTCTCAATTTAATACTTACTGTGTAAAATATTTACTACAATATTTTTGTTTTGGTCTGGCACGTACATTGTGACAACTGCCATTACTTGAACTTTGAACTCTCACTAGGGTCAACGCACAAATATCTGGCAGCCCCGGCACTGATTAATAAAAACGCGCGTAAATCATACTAACTTTGTTTCAACCGTATCCTCACTGTGCTGACTTTGCGTTTCTTTTTCAAGTGATTAAAAAAAAAAAAATAATTGCTCACCTTCTTATGTGGCTTTTACTTTAAAAAAACCTTTCAACATGCCAAAAGTAAAGTATGAGCAAAATATTTGGAAAGAGTGGTTGCATGATGACAAAATTAAAAACTGGGGATATGACCAAAGCTTGTTGTAAGTACTGCGAGTGTGAAATTATAGCGAAAATACAAAACTCAAAGAGTCATGCAGAGACTAAAAAAGCATAAAACGGCAGTTTCATTTAAAGATATTACACCGCTGACTTCTGTTTTCAGAACTATACTGATAAATGAATCATCAAAAGTTGAAGTTTCAGTCGCAATGTTTTTAATTTGTCACTGCGCAATTTCAAACTGTGACCATTTGATCGATTTGTAAAAAATATTGGACTAGTTCAATTTAAAAAGTGTGGACCTTTTAATCAGCAAACAGTTAGGCTTGAAGAATTTGGCTGTAATTGGTACTGATAATGCCTCAGTGATAGTTGGTATAAACAATGGCGTTTATGCCAAGTTGAAGGAAGCTAACCCATCGTTAATACTTATAAAATGTATGCGGCATTCATTGCAGCTAGCATTATCACATGCTTCATCTAAATATTCACCAAGGAATTTGGAATACCTTATTTCTGAAACACTTTACTGGTTTTCCAAATCATTTGTCAGACAACAGCAATACCATACATTATATACAGCCTTGAATGATGGTTTCACACCACCGAAAATTCTGTCAGATTGCAAACTAGATGGTTATCAAATTACCCGGCTGTTGAAAGAATTATGAAACAATGGCTGAAGTTGAAGACACACTTTGAAATAACAAGACAAAGTGAAAAGTGCTACACAGCTGAAATACTATATGGAATGTACAGGGATGAAAATAATTTGTCATTCATTATATTTTTATAACCTATTCTAATGGAAGTGCGAAAAGTTAATAAACTGTTCGAATCTAAACTTGTTGATAACGTTAAATTACTTGATGATCTTGATGATTACTTGCTATTTCACTCGGTAAAAGACTGGTGTTGCCAACTTCTAAAGCTGATTTGCTCACTTGCACTATAGAGAGCTATTTGGCTCCTAAGCCACACCTTGGATATTAAATCGAATCAAAAATTGATGATTTAAAAGCAAAAGGACTGTTAACAGAGAATGAAGAGAACAACTTGAGAAAACGCTGTCAAGATTTCCTTATCTCATTATTCAAGCAATTGAAGCAGAGACTTCCTGAAAATCTAGATGTTTTGAAAAATATATATTTTTTTTCTGTGAGCAACATACTTCAGCCAATAAAGGACATACCTAAATATTGTAAAGTTATGAAATTTTTAGGGGCTACTGATAATAGTGTCGCGGAAGCAGAATATCAGTTAGCTGAATGGACAAACAAAACAGAAACTAAAGCGTTTTTGAGTGAAGTGAGACAATTTAAAGATGCCTCATCAAACAGTCCATTCTGTAAGCTCTTTAAAGTGCCACGTCTGCCATGATACTACCCCACTCAAATGCTGACGTAGAACGAGTTTTCAGTGCTAGGAAGTATATCAAATCTAACCTAAAAAACATGATGAAATTTGACCTCTTAAATGCTATCGCGCCATTAAAATTCGGCGGCGTCCGTGGCTAAGGCGTTGCGAGTCCGACTCGTAAGCCAGCTTACCGCGATCGAAACCCACTGCAGGCTGCGTGGATTTTTGTCGTGGTATGGGACGTCGCAGGTCGACCCAGCCTCAAATGGGTACCAGGGAAAGTAAAGACAGCCGGCATAATGCTGACCACATTACCCACAGAGTGCTGATAGTCTGTATGGGACGCTCTGCCCATCTGCCCGATGCGGCAAAAGGCGTGAAAAGGGAACTTTACTTTTTTTACAAAAATTCGGCCTGATGAGACTAGAGAAATAAGCCTACTGTTCCACTTATAAAGAAATTTAAACAGCTAAAGTATACCAGGGTCATTTTGGATCTGAAGCTTCAACTTCATTATCCAAGCTAAGCTTATCCTGTGGATCTTGTGAGGCAGACATCAGTGAAGGTGAGGACATGATTATGTAGGGTAAATCATAACAAAAGCTATGTAATTTTTGACTTTTTGAATTTGGATGTTTTTTCTAGATCTTTTCCACGCAGATTTAGATCTTTTTAGATATTTTTTGACACCGTTTTGGATATTTTTTGTCAAAGAAAAGTGGCAACACTGGATAACGCAGGTTGCGAGGATGCAGTAACTGAACAAACAGGTCTGTGTTTCTATGTGATAATCGAGGCGTGCATTGAGGACAGAGATTACAAGTGGGTGGAAGTGCTAACTTTCTTCCATACTTTTCCTCTGTTCCTCTCGTCATACAACC